ACCTACCCTGTACATTTCATAAAAATCGGTCCTGAACTTTTTGTGTTATTTTCGATTAATGATAATTGGTTGATTATTGATCTTGATCACCACCAAAAACTAATCACTTCTAATATAACCCATTTCTGACCTACCCTGAAAATTTCATCAAAATCGGCCCGTAACTTTTTGAGTTATGTTGATGACAAACAAACAGACAGACAGACAGACAAACAGGGGTGAAAACAACCTCCTTGACGGAAGTAATACATTTGATCGAGGATAGGCTTTTCTCTGTTGACCAGTTGCATCAGTAGCTGCTTTTCGATATCAGAAAAGGGTCGACGACTTTGGTTTTCTCATCATCCAAATCATTCTTTTCCCTTCTAGGAATACTTGCTTTATTTACTAAATTTGGCTTAGATCAAAACATCCACATGCAGTGATAATGTCCATATGCGCTGTTGCATGACTGAAGTTGATCAGTTGACCCCAATTATACAACATTACTGAGGCGTTTTTAACGAGGAGGGTGTCACAAAGACCTACTCTAACCAATGAGGAGCTCCTTTATGTCAGTGTCCCTTACCTAAAGACTAACTTTTGTCAAAGTAATTCCTTATCAAAGGAGAGGCTAAAGTGTGGTCTTAGGATACCATTTCGTTAGGCCTTCCTTTACCAAGGAACACCTCATTAAAGGAAGCCTTTATAAAAGTTGACCTTAGACCTATTTCAAGGAATATCTTGAAATACGGGCCTGTGACTTTGTTATATATACACTCTTGCCCAAAATGGTTGGTACACGGAAATTTTGAGATGCATATCGCCCTGTTTCTTTCATTATTATTAATATTATCAAATTAATACTGTTTATATTGTTAAATATGTGAAGCTGGAGGATTGGTTAAGTCAAGGAGAAACAAACAATGCAAATGTGAAAAAAGCGTTAATTTATTTAGTATTTTTTTCTCATGCCCCCCCCCCCCCAAAAGAGTACATTTTGACATAACAGTACCAAGGGAAAAATTAAACATAAATTTATACTGTGATTGGCAAATAATATGAAATTAGGAGAAATTGTTAAGAAACATCTTCAGAGTTCATTATTAATCTAAATAGCGGGTATGCCCACACCGAGCTTGGATAATGGCCGCCAGACGGCGTGGCATACTGTGAACTAGAGGTACAGCTTTTTGGAAAGGAATTCTGGTCCATTCATCTCAAAGGGCATCTCGCCGTTCATCTAGATTTGCAGGGGGAGGGTTTCTCCTCTGAGTAGCACAACCAAGTTCGACCCACATGTGCTCAATTGGGTTTGCATCTGGGCTTCTTGCTGGCTGTGGCATCAGCTGAATGCTGTTTTGTCGGATATAGACTGCAATTAAGCGGGCTGTATGGGGAGTTGGGTTGTCATGTTACAATCTAAAATTGTCTCAGTATATCCCTCTTTCAAACGGCTCCAGGTTCTGCTGGATAATGTCTCTGTATCTAGCAGCGTTAAGGTTTTCATCCAAAGGAGACAATGGGCAAATACCGCTGCTGCAAATGGCACCCCAAACATGTAGAGAACCACCTCCTCCAGCTATTGTTTCCTGAATATTTTCAGTTAATAGCCTCTCCCCAGGGAGCCTACGCACTTTCATAGCTGGAGGAGGTGGTTCTGTACATGTTTGGGGTGCCATTTGCTGCAACGGTATTTGCCCATTGCTTACTCTGGACGAAAACCTTAACGCTGCCAGATACAGAGACATTCTCAAGCAGAACCTTGAGCCGTTCGGAAGAGGGATATACAGAGACAATTTTAGATTGCAACATGAAAACCCAACACCCCACAAAGCCCGCTTAATTGCAGTCTATATCCGACAAAACAACATTCAGCTGATGCCACAGCCAGCAAGAAGTCCAGATGCAAACCCAATTGAGCACATGTGGGACGAACTTGGTTGTGCTATTCAGAGGAGAAAACCTCCCCCTGCAAAACTAAATGAACGGCGAGATGCCCTTTGAGATGAATGGACCAGAATTCCTTTCCAAAAAGCTGTAACTCTAGTTCACAGTATGCCACGCCGTCTGGCGGCCATTATCCAAGCTCGGGGTGGGCATACCCGCTATTTAGATTAATAATGAACTCTGAAGATGTTTCTTGACAATTTCCCCTAATTTCATATTAATTGTCAATCACAGTATAAATTTTTGTGCAATTTTTCCCTTGGTACTGTTATGTCAAAATGTACTCCTTTGGGGGACATGAGAAAAAAAACCTAAATAAATTAATGCTTTTTTCACATTTGCATTGTTTGTTTCTCCTTGACTTAACCAATCCTCCAGCTTCACATATTTAACAATATAAACAGTATTAATTTGATAATATTAATAATAATGAAAGAAACAAGGCGATATGCATACCAAAATTTCCGTGTACCAACCATTTTGGGCAAGAGTGTATATATATATATATATATATGTAAAACTAAACCTCGGAAATCCTAACTTACAGGCCATACAAATATACCCTACATATATTTAGCCATCAAACATGTCCTACTGCTAAACACATCCAGGCTATAAGGGTGTACCATGCTTAGGTGCAAAACATGCTTAGGAGCTAAATGCGTTGAAAAAATCAAACATAGCAGGCACTTGGATGTTTTTACAGTGTACGTTATGATTGTGTACCTGTGCTTTGTACCAAAAATAATAACATTTCAGGTCATTTTAATGTCTTTTCATGCAATAATGTTGTCTAACAACTGGGTTTGATACAATGTTGTTTTCTGACGTTGATCCAACTTTCAAATCCAACATTTATCCAACATCTTATCAACATCTTATATGTTGTTTCAACGTTTAAACAACATAATTTGCCCGCTGGGTAAAGTCTGCACACACAGTTTTTTTTCATTCAAATAATAATTATGATAATAATAAAAATGATAAAAATGATAATTATAACGATGTTTTAGAAATAAACATTTTCTATAGAACCTTATAATACTTATTTTAAAATATTTCCATGCCTTAAGGGCTAATTGGGTCAAGACCATTTTGTAATTTGTTGTACATATACTGACAGTTAATGAAAACGCATCATTTATTTATCAAATTATATTTTAAGTTCCTTTGGCACATTAAGAAAATAACAGTTTTCGTGTAAAATATGTGAAATATGAAATAGTGGTCAGCCCACTCTCTTATGACCAAACAAGTGCATTTGTACTCGTTTATATGGTTAGAATCGATTCTCGGTAAAAAAGTACAAGAACGTTTTCTGATGCGTTTTCATTGACTGTCAGTATATCTTAATGTTATAGATGACTTTAATATTTGACGTCTTACAACGTATGTTTATTATGGGGGTATATGGGGACTTTACGACATTCGGTTTGAATGTTTTAACCACTTTTGATAGGGCTTTTTTGCATTGTATTAGATTAATGTGGCAGTCTTAGGTTCATCTAGGCGGCTTTCAAATTTATGCACCCGGTTTTAAAATCATATAGCGATTTTACGGCAATCGTTTACTACCCAATCAAGGTGACAGCCGAGCATGCCAGGGCTCATCCTGTTGGTGTTTTGGCTGATACTCCGAAATGCGATCTGACACACACCTTGAAAACGGGTAGTGTGGTCCGATATACCGGTTAATTCAGGATCCTTAGGTGCCGAGTCTGGTAGTTGGGTAGGCCTGTGTAGAACGAGAACAGAAATCCCAACATGGGAAGGAACTAGACAATATGTTAAATACTACAGATTCTGAAATATTTGTTTAATATATTCTTTATGTATACCGACAAAAAACATGTTAAAAGAAAATGGGAAAATATTGATCGCATATTACAACTGAATTGACAAGCAACCAGCTAAGGATATACCTCTTAGTATTTCAATTGAAAGGTTAACAACATGAATTGTCAATCTCTATTTCTACCCTTATATGCAATACTGTAATTGTACAACCTTTTTTATACCGAGAGAGAGAGAGTACAAGTATGTAGGTGTATGAGTGTGTGTGATTCATAAGCCAAAAATTGTAAGATTGTATATTTATTTGCTACTGAAAAAAAATTAATTGAAATTTGTATAAAATATCTTCAAGTGAATAACTTCAACATTTTAATTTTTAGTTATTTATCACACTTTGAATATACCTCCAAATCTCTTTATTTCGCCTTTGCCAGTGCTGTGCTTAGTTCCATTTATCTGTGAGTTTGTCGGTTAGTAACATTATTGAAAAGGTGTGGACGGATTTTGCTGAGATAATTTGGAAACTGTCAGGAGGGGACCAAGTAAGAGACACTTAAATTTTGGTGATGAGCCATTAACTAGTCAACAAAGTCCTTTTTTCTGCAAGCCACAGTATGCTAAAAGTTATGAAGGGAAATTGGATGAAATTTTCAAGATTGGTCTGAAATGGATTCTGATGGTGATTAGTTAATTAATTAAATAATAATTATAATGAGAATCGAGCTTATTAATTAGTTGATAAATAATAATGAGAATTGAGTTATTGAATAAATTTATGGATTTGCTAAAAAAATACTAATAATGAGTGTAACATACCATTCTGCATCAGAACACTTACCTGTGGTACTAGTTGTGAGCAGTTGTTACTGAAAACATGCTTCCTGTATTACAGCAAACAGTTTTGCCTATTGGTACCCTGCCAGCTAGCTACATTACATAATTCTTCCACTTCTACGCTACTCATGTCACTTCACTTCACTTCTGGACAGAGGGACAGTCCAGCGTGTTGACAATTCTGCTGACATCTGATTCTACTTCCACTTCAATTCTGAAGCATCACACCAGACTTAGTTTTCTACTAACTACAGTAACATGCCAGTAGAGTTTACTTCCCCGACTTTAGAATAAAATAATAATAATAAAGCAAATTTTATCTAAGTAGTTGTTTTCTATACTACAATGATCATTGAGCTGTCCAGCGGAGGTCTGTGCTCTCTGGTCAGGGTGCTTTTCTGGTTTAAAATTGAAGTTTCTACAAGCGAATGACAACAAATCTGTTAAAGAGTCTACCTTTATTGATTTCAAAAACATGTCATATCATGGATGCCAACTTAAGAGAAAAACTACAGTCCAGATAATTTCATAACTAACTTTTTTAAAAATTGTAGAATACATTACAGTTTGCCCCTTTTTAACTTGCAAGATATGCTGTTACAGAAAAATTTAAGGATTATTTAAAAAATAAGACTGGTCATGACAATCATATTGATGAATTATTATCCTCATTTACACAAAGTATATGTAGAAAAATAAAACAGTAAGTTGTGAGATATAAAATAACACTTTCACATGATCAGGAAAAGGTGTTTTTGACATTTCATCATTTGGCATCTTGATAACCCCTATTCTCAAAATTAGAAGAGATAGTTTCATAAAAATTGGGTCAAAATTATGATCTTAATTAGTTTTATGAAATCCTTTCCTCAATATGAGAAAAATGCTTCACAACAGACTTGTACTCATAAAAGGCAAGCATCTAGAAATATTTAAATGACTCTTAAAGGCATGCAAAAAAGTTCTTTAGCTTGGTAGTTGGCTCATAGGTTGGCCACACAATAACGATATGAAAGTATTTCAGCTTGTATTTTATAATTATCAGATATGACTCTTAAAGATAATTTCTGTAATTAAGACAATAAAATCTTTTATTCTTATTAGTTCCAGTTGGTCTAAAAGCTACTCCCTGTAGAAGGAAGTGGGAAATATTAGTATGTACAAATATTGCTGCCACAGGATAGTCCAATAATTAACTACATCATGCTGGCAAGTGGTAAGACAAGAGTCGAAATACATGCTCCTCCTTCACTGTCAACCTCCAACTACTTGATCGATGCTTCTTTTTTTTTTAGCATATCTGCAACACTATTTCAACTTCTCTGCAAAACAGACGAAATTCACTATAACCACTGTGCATGATGCTTCATCTTGGTCTAAGTTTTTTTTCTGCAAGTTGTTAAATCATTCACAAAAGTAGGAAAATTGAGCCTTGGTGTATCTGCCAGTGTTATGTAAGGCTATGTCATTCTGAAATGAGAAAAAATAATGATCAAATAAGATTGCTACAGAGTCTATAAGATAAAATTAGGTTTTTAAAAATCTATTGATAAATCATGAATCATGGTTAGAAAATACCTAGCTCAATTAATAAGAAATGTACTCAGTGATAATTGTACCAAAGCTTTATATTTATTTCCTTAAATGTGACTTTTTTACAAGAAGTTACTAATTTTTTTCTAATTTCTAATTCCCAAGCTTATAATTTTTTCTAATATTTTATTGCAATAAGTGAAACACATTTGCTCCTCATAAATAGTGGTATGCCCCTAAGATATGGCCCAATGAGTGTACATGGAAATAATACAAAAAAGAAAAGAACTCTGGGGAAAATATTAAAAAGAAGAAATATTATTGTAACCACTTGTCATTTCTTTTGAATTAATGTCTAAATTTTGGTTTCCAACATAGCTGATTATTTCTGTTTTTTAAATTTTCTTCAAAATAAATTTCATTCATTTCACATTCAAGAAAAAGTTGTGGTACCTAATTAGAAGTTAGAGCCCATTCCACCTTGGTTACGGGACCCTGAGAACTGGGCCCCATCATCTGTATGGAGTGCCCCTGCCCCCGCGCCAAAGCCGCACCCTTTGGGACCAAACTGTCGGGCATAACACTTTTTACAGAAGATCCAGCCATCATGGCATGCCAAGTTGTTGCTGTCCAAGTTGGTCTTACACATGCCTATATAAGGAAAGCAACATGCACGTGTTAGTCACCACAGATACAGTTGCCATGACAACAAGGTTTGACACGAAGGCTTGATCAGGATCAAGAGAAAGCACTTCATGTCAACTAGAACATCAGAGAGATTTTGTAGTCAAATTTGTCATCCATTTTGCATTCTGTTCAGCAAAAAATTTTTCTTTTTCATCAGGTCACAAAAAATTGCTAAACCAAGTTTTTTCATTGACTTATAAAACCATAACCATAATGTTAGGAAATCGAGTAACAAAACAAAACAAATAATACAGCACAGTAGGATAATAANCCTGGACTCTCACATTGTTATGTGGTTAAAAGCACTGGCCTTGAAATTATAGGGCGTAGCTGTAAATTGCCACAATTTTTGTCAGGAGTTCTTTCTACAGGGTAAATGCAAGGAATAAGATGAATAAACAATAAATGCTCGTCACTTAAAAGTTAAAACTGAATGGTGACTAGTGCAATGCACAGGGTGTAACGACACTTGGCGTGGTTTTCTTAACTGATCGGCGACACCCGTTTTTTTAAATTTTTTTATGAACTTGGATGTCTTTCCATACAAAAAATTGTTTAAAAAATTCGAAAGTTAGAGCATTATAAAAATATGATTTAGTAAAGCGACACCCATTTTCCGCTTGATTAGAATGGGGACTAGTGCAATACGCAGGATGCAATGCAATTCAACTTGCCGTAGTTTTCTAATTTGGGTGGTGGCCGCTAAATTTGCACTTGGATGTCTCTTCGTACATTTTTTTTTATTCGAACGATAGAACATTATAATAATAACGATTTAGTGAAAGAACACAGAGTTTCCCATTTAAATACACAGAGAGTAACGTTCTTGTTCCTAGTTCTATTATGACCGATGACCCCCCCTTTTTTTGTGCAATTTTTTAACGTACTTGGATATATCATGAAACAATAATTTTTTTTTTAATTTAAAAAAAAAACAGCAGCGAGTGATCAACCTTATATGTACTTGTGTTTATGAAATATTCACAATTTTCATGATATTTGAGTTATCTGTGTCTGGTAACACCTATCTGAGAAATATCTGTCAAGGTTTTCTCTGAATTACCGTACCTGGCACAGTTCAGAGATTCTTTTAATATCTCCGTAAATATCAAAACACCACCTGCACCTCTACCTTCTCCTGCAGGCAAATATCCGTACCCATCTTTATTTTTCATAGATTCCCTAACTGTATTGTGTATTGTTCCATTTATATATTATCAGTAAATAGATTGGTGCCTGTCCCTCTGTGGTATGATTCATTGTTTACAACAACTATTTAGAAAACTTATTTTGTGACGCAGCGTACACCGGTATTTAGGTTGAACAAGGTCATAACCTGATGTTGTCAGAAAATGAGTACTCTTCAATTTTCTAAACATAGATAAATCATTTAATTGTTTGTGTTTGTCACTCCAAAATATCCATTTTGGCACTTGAAAATGTTTTAATATGAGAAAGACCTTTGTCACGTAGGTCGTTTCACTTGAAAACGATCCATTCATTATGCATTGCCAAACGGTTTACGGACGTGTACTAGATACGGGGACACTGCACTCCATTTTCCATAAATGTACTGGCTTTAAAATTGTGCGCTAAACATGATAGTTGACATCATTGTGGTAAGGAGTTCTTTTTATATAAAAAAATGGACAACTTCTAGATAAAAATGAAAATTGATGTTCAACAAATACTAGCAATCAACTGTCCAACTTGTCAATCATCACTAGAATTTTGGTAGGCAATGTTTATTTTATGAAATGACCATTTTAAGATCAGCGAAACTTGTTGCTTACGTTTAAAAGAAAAATATTTCCCTCTTCATCACATAGGTATATGTTTTATTTTGGTTAATTTATTTTGTTGCTGGAACATGATGAGTCAAAGCCATCCATTTAAGGTGTACCGGTAGCGCAACAAAGCAGTAACATTTTTCAGCGGTAGACAAATATAACTGGAATGCTATTGAAATTTAACAGGTGTATACTCACAGATCAGGAAAGGTCCTGAAATGTTATTTACGACTTGGAAAATATTAACAAATTATTAACATTGAAATGGAACACGTTTCCGTGGGGTGAATGTTTCTTGCAGGAAAAAAAATTAGAATTCGACCTAAAAAGGACCCAAAGAGCGCAAATCTTCGCTATAGGGCAGGCCAATTCTTTTTATCATTTAATTAAGTTTTTTATTGCCGTATCAACCCCAAAAGCTAATCGACTCTAAGTTAACCAATTTTCACACATTTTTATTTTTTTCAAACTCCGTTTATAGTTGAGTTGTTAACTAACAAACCAACAAAGGCAAACAAGTTGCCATTAGCAATAAGTGGGTGATCAATCGAAATAAAGTTGCTATTCATGCAATGTGTATATTTATACATTTATAAACATATGTATAGTAATCATTTAAATGCACACCTATATGAAATATCAGCAATATAATAATCTATAATCTCGGCGCGTATAATTTCAAAAGTGAAGTAATGTTTGACAGTCCTTTCAAAGACATATTGAATATTTTTAAATACTTCAGATAGATGGAATGAACAGGTGTCTCTGTGAGAGTGAGGATTTAGCCGAACATACAGAATAATACCAAGATCTAACTTGATAAAAACATCTTTTGAATTGAAGAACAATTGTATTAAAGTTCAAAAGCAAGAGCTGCTACAATTTTATTTGAGTTATTAGAAAACTCAACACGTTTTACCTAAATTTTTTCTATGCCCATGCAAACATAAGATGTTTCCCACTTATTAAAGTGTAGTGCTTGATTAACGGCTCTACAATTTGTGAATAGATTTTTTTACGAAATATGCAAATAAAGGGCCAGAAGAAAAGATATTTTGAAAAGAAGTTCCTAATTACTTGGTTTATCGACAAAAATACCTTGAAAAAATCAAAGAACACCGAGGTTAATTGCACGGGTCGTTGTTGATTCAGATTTTTTTTGTGTGTGTTTTAAATGCCTGACTACAAAAAGTCCCATTTGAGTGTATATGATCCTTTTCCTAGTAAACTATAAGTGTAATAGGAAAATAAAAAATTGAAAAACATCAGGCAAATCAAAATCCTCTACGGCATCACGTTTCACAAACAAAGGCGATAAACACGGAAAAAGATTTCTATGATATTAACCCCGCATAACATACATGTACCACTAATTAATAATTAACTAATATTCCTTCAATCATAGCTAAATGTTCGATATACAACCAAATTCCATAAATATAAAACCCTTTGTTAAACAGCCCCCCTCATATATTAGCACACCTATACGCCATTATAATTATTATAAATTATATTTATCTATTTATATATGAAGTGCACGCGATGTTCAATTTGGGCAGATCCTTGCAAAAAGAAAACATTAGAGAGTTTGGAATACATTGAAAACAGGAAGTACAATCAAACATATATACTAAATTAAATGAAAATCTATCACTCTATTCAGTTTGTCCGTTTGGCTTGTTGATCAAAACTATACGTTCCGAATCTTTAGCAAAGCAGCACTCTGCAAATGACTTCATTCAATTTTTCTTCTCCATATCTCATCAGTTAATCAGGGTGCAACTACTCTGAAAAAATAAATACGAAAATTCAAAAGTATTGAAAGTGTAGTTAGATGCCCCATATTCCAAATATCTCATCTCATTTCGGTGGGTGAGGAGTTGGGGAGGAATGAGGAAGGTTATGTGGGTGGTATAAAAGGATACTAAATGATGCTTACTAGATACTGATAAAACCAGCTATAAAGCTTTTGAGCGGTTTACCGGTATGATAATCTGTTATCTTTAAGGGAAAAGTTAATTCCTCAATCACAGACAATTATCTACCAGTTAACAACAACAGCTGTAACAAATAAAAATGCCACAAACACAGACACACACAAAAAAATGAAAATGAGAAAAAAAAAAAGAAAACACGGGTAAATTAAATTCTAGTTGAAAAAAAATAATATACTGGGTTATCAATGCAATATACTATTATCTACAAAATAAATGTTTGGCGCCCTTGAATTATTTACAAAAATATGACTGCACCTGTAAATTGAGAAAACAGTGGGAAATGGAACATTTGTGCATCTTGTTTTTTTTTTCAATTGAAACTCAGCCATTAGCACTGAGAGAGATGTAAAGAGGGATGGTGTGTCCAATATTTTTATATTCAGATTCATCTTAATGGATTCTATAAAATAGTAAGCATCAATGTTTTTTCTTTTAAATATACTTATCCCTTTACTACCACATTTGTTTTTAAATGTTAATGATGGAGGTAAAGAACTTACCGAGTAAAGATCGGTGGTTAAAGTGCAATAACATATGTTGTTACCACAGCAACCTCTGTATCTCTGTGTAAGAAACCAAAAGCCAGTAGAATGTGCATTGCTACACAAAGCTGTGCAGGGATTCACTCTGACACGATCTTTTTCCACCGTGCCTGAATTGACTTTAACGACACTAGCATTCGGGGAACAGATAGATGGCGACACTGAAACAAAATGAAGAGGGATCTGCATTCCTTAGTCTTTTATCTTATATACTGTACATGCATTAAAAGCTCCATATTTGTAATTTCAAAATAAAAAAGAACACGGATTTCCAACTAAAATACTTAAATCTAACATGAAATTCGTTTCCACTGTGTTTCCAAGTTTTATATGCAATTAAAAAGATTATGCCTATCTGAAGAAAAGAAAAACACAAGTTGGAGTGATAAACAGTGCGTTATGAAGTAAAAATACCTCATGGTAAAGTAAACGGTATACGCTGAGCATCATCAACATCGCCGCATTATAAAAAATGGATCTTATCTTATTGCAGTAAGAGTTAATGCGCATGACAAGCTCGTGAAGTTTAAAAGCCAAAGGTAACATTACAAATAAATTTTATGGCATAATCATCAAACATGCATTTAAGTTCCATATATTAGTAATTTTAAGACAAAAAAAGACCAGGGGATTCCAACTACATTTTGTTTTTAATGGTCATTTGAAAGAATAACATACCGCATTACACATTTGCCTGTGCTTTTGAAGTGCTTTAATTGCCGTAGTCATTACTGTAATTTTTTATTATCATGAACGAAGTGCTGTGTATCATTGAAAAATGTATGCAATACAACACTATCAAGTATTTTGATACTTTTAAATTTCTTTAAAAGAGTTAAAACTCACATGTAGTGGGGGCGGTGGTGGTAGACTCTGCGGTTGTTGACTCAGTGGTGGTAGGTTGAGTGGTTGTTGACTCAGTGGTGGTAGACTCGGTGGTAGTTGACTCAGTGGTGGTAGGTTGAGTGGTTGTTGACTCAGTGGTGGTAAACTCAGTGGTTGTTGACTCGGTGGTGGTAGACTCGGTGGTAGTTGACTCAGTGGTGGTCGAATCGGTGGTAGTTGACTCAGTGGTGGTAGAATCGGTAGTCGTTGACTCAGTGGTAGTGTCAGTGGTTGTTGATTCGGTGGTGGTTGAATCGGTGGTAGTTGACTCAGAGGTGGTCGAATCGGTGGTCTTTGACTCAGTGGTAGTGTCGGTGGTTGTTGATTCGGTGGTGGTCGAAACGGTGGTAGTTGACTCAG